TGTGTGTGTGTGTGTGTGTGTGTGTGTGTGTGTGTGTGTGTTGAGGAGGTCGTCTGCTTCGGTGAATTGCTTCCCTCATGCTCTTCTTTGGTTCCTTTTGTGTCAGTGACCAGGCCCAGTCTCCGGCGCAGGTACGTTTTGCTCAGGGGGCACCTAGGATGGAACTTTTCCCGTAGGCCCCTGATTTCCTTTTGAATGGACGGGCCCTTGGCACCTTTAGACTCTTTCGCCCCGCCGGGGCTTCCGGGGCTTGCGGCTGTACAGACGCCCCGGCGAGCGCACGACCGGCACCCAAACCTCTGCGACCTCTCGGAAGAGGGGAAGGCAGAGCATCGGCGAAGCCTCGAACTCCTTGGGCCGTCCTTAAACCCTGAGAAGCTCTTTGCCCTGGGTGACGAGGAGGTTCGGGAGCGCTGGCAGGTGGGCTACAATCCGGTGCAGGAGTTCATCACTCTTCTGAGTGACTCTGAAGCTTCCACGCCCCGGGCCATGGACCTTCCGGAAGAGAGGCCGGATCACGCCAAAAGCCCCCCCCCCCCCCCCCGCCCCGCTGCCGGACATAGGTACCCTAAACTCCAAAACCTAACTCAGAGGTTTCGAGATGTCGAAGCACCCTCCAGCTCCCCAACACGCTCAACCCTAAACCCTGAACCCTGAACCCTAAACCCTGAACCGTGAACCCTGAACCCTAAACCCTGAACCCTAAACCCTGAACCCTAAACCCTGAACCCTAAACCCTAAACCCTAAACCCTGAACCCTGAACCCTGAACCCTAAACCCTGAACCCTAAACCCTGAACCCTAAACCCTAAACCCTGAACCCTGAACCCTGAACCCTAAACCCTGAACCCTAAACCCTGAACTCAGCATCCTCCCAGGCCCGAAACCACGATGGATCTCCAAAAGGAGTGGCAAGACTCCGGATTCGAACGACCCTGGCGCCCTTCGGAAATCCTTTCCTCCTTTGTCTGCTTGGGGTTTGGGGTTTGGAGTTTAGGGTTTGGGGTTTAGGGTATAAGGTAGGGTCTTTAAGCCCTCTAGCAGCCAAAGCCGGCAAGCCTGAACCCTGAATCCGCAGCAAGAATTCCCAACACTGAGCCAAGTTAAAAAGCTCCAAGCCTGGACCCCTAAACCGCATGCAAAGCTTGAAGCCCTGTACCCCTCTATCTCAAAGCCGCAAGTGTCAGCCTTAACCCCGGCCTCACCCACCACGCGAAGTTCTAAGGGTTTGGGGGATCAGTCCTGCAGCCTCTTCTGAAGCAAACTCCCCCAAGCCACCCAACTCCTGAGCCCGAAATCCGAAACGGATGGAGTCCGGTCCTTATCCCCCACTTGAACTCGCAAAACCCTAAGCACCACACTCTGAGGCCATATGTAGACCTTCGAGCTCTTTTAGCGTTGAGGGGGGTTTATGCCGGCTTAGTCCTAGGTCGGAGAAGGGGGACCTAAAAGGGAACCCGTCTTAACCCTCTTCTGCCTCTCTTAAACAGAGGCTCTAGATACCCTAAACCCTAAGCCCTAAACCCTAAACCCTAAACCCTAAACCCTAAACCCTAAACCCTAAACCCTAAACCCTAAACCCTAAACCCTAATCTTGTCCCCTGCTTAGAGTGGTGTACTTGAGGACCCAGGCCGCGCGCGCAGCCCGCGGTTAGGAAGGCGAAGGCTTTGACGGCGTCCGAGCCCCAGGGTTTAGGGTCTGGGGTTTAGGGTTTAGGGTTTAGGGTGGTTTTTCGGGCTTTTGGGCCTGGCGGCTTATCTTCTAGGGCATTCAGGAGGGTTTCCGAGGTCAGCGTAGTTTCGGCTGAGGGCGGTTCTTGAGGTTTTTTGGGGTTCTCCTCTGGGTTCTAGGATGTGTCAAGGCCAGTTCAGTTCAGGAGTGGGTTCAGGGTTCCTAGGGTTGCTTGGGTTTCGTGCCGTTTTGTTTTTTTCTCTCCCTACCCTCGGGTCATTCGGCCCTGAGGTTCCTAGAAAAAATAGCGCCGAGTGTCTGGGTTCAATCCATGCAGATGAAGTAGGCTAGAACCGCTTCGATATCGGGCATTTTAGGGTTTAGGGTTTAGGGTTTAGGGTTTGGTAGGTCAGGGAAAGGAGTCGGTTAAAGCCTTCAACTTCAGAGAACCCTCAACCCGAGTTTCGGGTTTAGGGTTTAGGGTTTAGGGTTAGGGGTTGTTTAAGGTGTTAGGGTTGGCCCCACCCTGAACTTCATGGGCGTTCTAGGGATACCCTCTGGATAGGGTGTTGAGATATCTGAGATCTGGGGGCACCCTCTTGAGACTGTCTGCGAGATTCTCTGGGGGTAAATGCTCCAGGATGCAGTGCTCACCGCGGGATTCCCTGTAGGTTTTTCAAGGGGATGAAGGCTCCAGGGATACTTTGCAGGATTTTTTTTGCCGAGAATATTTCGGTGTGGGCAAACCCCAAACCGCAGTCGCCCCGAGGGCAGACTACTGCCGTGTCATCCGGCCGCCACTTCCTGTGCCCGCTGCTTCCGCACTTGCGGGCACCTGGCTGGACAGTGACTTGGCAGCAGGGCTGGAGGCCCTGGAGCCCGCGTAGGGTTGAAAGGTTTAGGGTGTGTTTGGGTTTGTGGTATATGGGCCCGGCCAATGGTTGCTTGAAGCTCCAACTGTAAACATGCTGGATGAGGCCAGCTCAGGTGACTTCCGAGCACCTGGCTATTGCTTCGTGCTACTCCGAACTAGAACGCAGAGCGAATGCCTTGAGTCCTTCAACCTCTGCCACCCTAAACCTCGAAGCCCGTAAACCCCTGAACCCCTTAAACCCTGAACTTTAAACCTTAAACCCCCAAGACTAAATAGAAATTGCGTGCGATATCAATTCTGAATCTGCACAGCTGTTTGTCGAAACAAAGCTGGCACACCGCACGAAGCCCCGTCCCATCAACAGAAGCTCCAAAACTCGGGCTTACGTAAATTGCTCCAAACGTCCCTGGAGGTAAAAAAAAAACTAACCTACTTAAAACTCCATACATGGCAGCATGTTTGCCATGCTTTTGGTCTGAGCTTAGTCTAAGCATGTCAGCACTCCCCAAAGATCCGCCCCCTCGCAAAAAGCCTCGGGAGGCCTCAAAATGGACAAAAGAGGGCCCCCCAAAAGGCCTGGGAGGAAAGGTACCAGAGGCATGCCGGTTCAGGGTTTAGGGTTTAGGGTTTAGGGTTTAGGGTTTAGGGTTTAGGGTTTAGGGTTTAGGGTGTAGGGCCAGGAGTCCTGGCAGGGAGCGCGAGGGTCGTTCGAAAAATTCTTGAAATAATGTTATGGGGGCACAAACCCTATACCATGTCTATAAACCCAACCCTTAAGCCCTAAACTTTGAACGCCAAACCCTGAACCCTTCCGTTCACGCTTCAGAGATTCCCGGCCAAGGCATGGGTAACCTCCTGCAGGTGAACTCTGCAGCAACGCAGGCGGGACCCCCTCGCCTGTGAAGGGGTAGGGGTTCAGGGTGGGCTGTAACCCTAAACCCTAACCCTAAACCCTAAACCCTAAACCCTAAACCCTAAACCCTAAACCCTAAAGTAGGGTATGAAACTTAGAGTTCAGAGCTTTCCCCTCATAGTCCCGACCTTGGCCCAAGCCTTCAAGGCCACGACTCCCCCCGAAAGGTAGTGCCCTTGTTCTCTTTCAATCGGGGCTGTGGATCGCCAAGCCCGAAGCCCCAAACCCGAAGCCCCAAACCCTAAACCCTAAACCCTAAACCCCCCCTAAACCCTAAACCCCCCCTAAGCCCTAAACTCCCTAAACCCTAAACCCCTAAACCCCAAATCCTAAACCCCCAACCCGTTAACCCCCAATTCTAAACAAGAAGAAGGGCGCCCCCTTCCCTTCTCCTTCGGGTGCCCCCGGAGGCTTACCTCCAGGGGCCCCGTGGTTCACGAACGCTGCGGCTCTCCAAAGACCACTGGGGCAGGCAAAGGGGGTTTAGGGTTTAGGGGCTTAGGGGTTTAGGGTTTGGGGTTTAGGGGTTAGGGTTCAGGGTTCAAGGGTTAAACCCTAAGGGTTTAGGGGTTTAGGGGTTAAGGGGTCAGGGTTCAGGCGCTACTGGTAGGGGCTTAGGGTTTGGGCCTGCGGTCAAAAGGTTTGGGTTCCTGAGGTGCTGGGGTTGAGAGGTTTGGGGTTTGAGGGGGGTTTAGGGTTTTTAGAGGCTTCGGGTTTGGGATGTGAAGGTTTGGGTGTTTTAGGGTTTGATTGGTGGTTTGAGGTTTTTTTGGCTTCTGCGGGTCTGTGAGAGCATTTTGTGTCTTCAGGGTTTCAGTGAGCACCTGGGTCGAAATAAGGTATATGGACCATTAGGGTTTGGGGTTTTAGGGTCGGTCAGACCTCATAAAACCTAAGCCCTACAGCCTGCAGTGGTACCACCCTAAACCCTAAAGCCTAAACCCTAAACCCGAAACCCGAAACCCGAAACCCGAAACCCTAAACCCTAAACCCTAAACCAGGCTATGGTGCGGCACCTACGTGTTGCACGAGGTGGGCTACGAGAGTGTGGAGGCCGCTGGTGTAGACCGGGCGTCAGCGAGTTTTTTGGAGGGGTTTAGGGGGGGTATCGGGTTAGGGGTTTAAGGGTTTCACTACCTCCAAGCATCTCTAAACTCTTTGGCCCCTGAATCCTAACCACGGGTTTTGTGGTGATCCCGCCAGAGCTTAATGAAGGCTACACCGTCATGAGCCGACTCCCTCAACCACTCTAAATAGTCCCAAGAGTCCCAAAAAGCCTAAACCCTAAACTCTACGCCCTAAAGCCAAACAAATCCAATAGCCCTCCCTTCGTCGATGCTTCGCAAAGAGGCGGTCAGCACAGCGCCCGCGTGTCTCTCCTGGCGCACGACCAAGTGGCAGCGCCCTGCAGCAAGCAGGGTTCAGGGTTCAGGGTTTAGATAGGGTTTAGGGTTGAGGTTCTTGGAGGGCCCTTGGACGTCACAGGGAACTTGTTTTCGAAGCAGTACTGCATAAGCATACCCTTGAGTTCTGAAGGCGCGTTACCATGTTTACAGGCATGACTTGGCACGCACCGCCCAGCAGCGATGAACCCTAAACCCTAATCCCTCGGAACCTTCAGAAGCTGCTGCTGAAGATTCTCATGATTAACCTGGAAGAACCTGGGAGCTGTAGAACCTGGGGACCATTTGCAGGGTCTAAACGTGAGTGAACCCCCAAGCCCTCCTGTAACAACCCTCCCATGTGAACCCTACACCCTAAACCCTAAACCCCAAACCCCAGACCCTCAACCCTAAACCCCAAAAACCCTCAGCCCTACAGGGGCATCGCTGGCCCAGGATGTCCCTGTGGCACCGACAAGGGGCTCCCAGAGAGGGGCCGAAACCCGAGGTGCTCCGGCTGATGCTCTGAAGCCAGTCGGGCTCCTATTTTGGGCTACGCTTTTCCCCATTTTGCGGGTTAGGTGGCCCGTTTGTCTTACGCAACTCAGCTCTTGAGGTAGGTGCTACACTACGTGGGTAGTGGTGGGGGAGGCTTTTGGGTTTGGGGGTGTTTCTAGACTTTATGGCGCTTGGGTACCTGGATTTGAGCCTTTTTCCGCACGCCAAATTCAGACATAAGAGAACTCGTTGTCCATGTCAAGGCTTCTGGCCGGGCCGGGCCGCCTTTCTCAGGGTTAGGAAGACTGAAGAAGCGAATAATCGAGTAATTCCGCATGTCAATGCCTTGCCGCTGGACAAGAACAATCGCGGCAGATGATCAAGATGAGTGCGCAAGCGAGTGAGCGAACAAATAAACAAGAAGATAAGTGACTGGCATGAGGATGTGAGCGTCGGCGTGTGCAATTGTCTGTGCCGGTACGTGTAGGTTTGTCCTTGAATCTGCGTTTGTGTCTCCGGGCCCTCTGTCTCGGTGTCTCAGTCAGCGCTCGTATGTCTGCGTATCTGCGTCTTCGTCTGTGCCTGTGTGAGCATCCGCACCTGTCGGCTTTGCTTAAGGAATTGTTCCGTCCCAGTGGGGATGCCTTCAACCAGTCTGTTTTTAGCCGGTAGAACAGCACGTGCATAGCAGCTGCGCCCAAGGTTCCGTAAACCGTCATTTGCAGGGATCTGCTCCAAACCCGCAGACCTTGTGATGCGCAGCTCTGAAAACTCCAGGTCAAGGAGCCAGCACGCATCTTCTCAACCGAGACCATGCTCCTTGTTCTTACAGCTTTATACCCGCAACCTCCGAGATGTCCTCGTTCTGCACTTCGAGGCTCCTAAACCGAGAAGTATTATGCACGAGGCAATCTGTCAAGGATGCACATACAGAAGGACTTCTAAGCAAGTCGCAGGTGTGCCTATGCCACTCAACACCCACCCAATAGTGTCTCACAAAGCTCATCCTACAAGACGTCCCTTCCTCCGATCTGCTCTGTTGCAGTTTTCAATGGGGACCTGCACGGCTGGCCTCCCACAGTTCAGTCTCCGACCTACTTGTCAACGTGCGTTCGTATTCCTTGGGGGCGATTTGTTTGGGTGTGTGGGATGCGTTTTTGTGCCGTTTTCTTGGCGGGGGGCGGGCGCCGGGCGGGGCAGGGGCTTGGGTTCGTGGCTTATAAAAGTCTGGAAGCAACAGCGGGCTGTCCGATCAAACCGGCAATTTTGGTTTTGGTTTTCAGGTATATGGTATACTTGTGAGGAAATCCAGGTATTCATATCAGCAAGTGTAGAGGGAATCTGCTTCACATATGGAATTGCTGTGTTTTCCAACTAAGAGGCGTGGAAACTACTACTTTTGGTGGCATCCTTACAGGATTTTTCGCTGCTAAGCTCACAGGCCATGCATAAGAGGTACATGCAGCATTGGGTTTTCCTCAAGTTCGTTTTTTGCCATTTCTCAAAACCGTGTTTTGAAAAGTCATGACCTTAGCATACGACGGCAAACAGTTCCCTGCCACGCCGCCCCTTTGCTTCAGAACCTGAAAAGGGAGAGAGCAGCCAGAGCGAGAGAGCGCGCGAGAGAGAGGAGGGAAAGAGAGGGACTGAGAGGGAGAGAGATGGAGGGAGATGCAGGATGGATGTTCGTGGCAGGGGTGTTGGCTCCCGCGTCATGCTGGGACTGCCGCATGCCGCTTGTGTGCACGAGCCACGCTGCGCCGCACTCATATCACTCCTCTCATCACTCTCAGATTAGTCACTCACAAGCATACCACTTCATGCCACAAAAAAGCGTCCACCCAATGCACATCACAAAAACGCGTCGCACCAATGCATACCACGTCAACACGCTCGCACATCACACCTCGCCCCCTCTCCCTCACGAAGGACACAAATCCCAGAGTACCTTTGGGTGTCATGCAGCAGGGTTGTCCTGAAGATCGAGACCCTTTAGGCCCTAAATGTGCGGATGAGTTTAGGGCTGCAACCCTGAGACTTTTTGCGCGGCTCGTCCCCCAGAGCTTGCAAAGAAGCAAGGGAGAAGGGCAGAAGGAGGTGACACAGGCCGGCACCCAAGCCTAAACTTGAGAACCCTAAGCCCTCAAGCTTCAACCCTAAACCCTAAACCCAAAACCCAAAACCCTAAACCCTAAACCCTAAATCCTAAATCCCAAAAAC